TAGGTTCATTTCCCCTCAGATACACGCCCGCTGGCTCACGAGTTCAAGGACTGAATGAACTTGCTGCCAGGTACCTTGGGGGGCCGTACCTTAGGGACCTAGCAGCCTTACGTCAGGAGGCCACCGTAAGGTACCTTATCTAGCACAGGTACCTTACCTCAGCGTTCTAGGCTTATCGATAAGATGTGGAAGCTCGGAAGATTCTACGACGTCTTGAAAGTGCAGTACTCAGGGAAGCGCGTCGTCGGGTTGCATTTGAAATCGCCGACACAAGCTGACAGTGTGTGCCAAATCTTGGCTAAATCGCGCGGCCCGAATTAATCATCCCTGGCCCTACCTTTCCGCGCTCAAGCTTCACTTCATAGTGTTTTCACGTTTGTTCCCACAAGACAAACCGAACCCCAGCAGTTTGATCATGACCGACACAGAGCGAGATAGCAACCCCGGTGGACTCGCTCCCGCCCCTGTGACCACCGAGGCGCCGAAACCGCTGCCGAAGGGAGTTGTTTTGGGCAAAGATGGCAAGCCGTGAGTTCTTGTGCCAAAATTATCTTCTTCTCTTAATGGATCATTCACACGAAGTTTCCTGCTAACGAAAAACCGGCTTAGCTGTCGATCTTGCTCATCCAAAAGCGCATTCTCAAGCTGGGCCGCCCAAGCTAATGCCTCCTTGAGGAAGGATGCCCCAAAGATTTCAACGCCCGTCAATGATTGCCCTCCGGATGTGGAAGCCCTCGGTCGCGGGACTTGGGCGTTGCTTCATTCCATAGCGGCGACATACCCTGAGAAGCCCTCATCAACGCAGAAGGAGGACTTGCGTGGCTTCATGCGGCTGTTTTCCAAGTTGTACCCATGCTGGGTGTGTGCTGAAGATTTCCAGTCATATATGCAGAAGGAACAGGTGCGCGTTGAGGGCCGTGGTGAATTTGGCAACTGGCTGTGTGAGGCACACAACGAGGTGAATCGCAAGCTGGGAAAGAAAGAATTCGACTGCAGCAAGTGGGAAGAACGTTGGCGCACGGGCTGGAAAGACGGCCGTTGTGACTAAGATTTGGCAATGGAACTCGGAGCCTCAAGTGGCATTAAACACAGCACATGAATGTTGCGGGACGCAGCGCAGCACACAAGATAGACATAGATAAACCTTTGTACCAATATGTAAAATACCACTCAATCGGCATTGGCGAATGGGGTATCATCTCGGGTATGGTGCGAGGGCATGATCCCAAAAAGCAGGGCCAGAGAGCAGGAACACTCCAAAGGGACGTGAAGGGGAAAAGCCCACACCAACTCGGATGTCACCGCGGGCCCCCGGGATGCCGGAGCGAGGCAATGCGGCGTTTCAGCGGCTCTCCGAAAGCGCAACGCCATCGCCATCGCCGGGTACCGCCGGACGGCAGGTATGAGCATGAATGATGGTGGTAAGCTAGATACGCAGAGAACTGGTCTAGATAGTCTAGGAATGCAAAATCTTGAGCCTGACCTTCCCGGATCGGCCGTAGCAAGGCCGAACCCTGGTTTCCAACAATCAGATCATGTCAAGCTTGAAGAAGCCCTTCCAGTCGATTTGACAGCGTGGCGGTCAGTCTGCACTCACGCACTGCATTAGAGGCGGCAGGGTCATGGGCGAGATCTGCCTTGGCCCGGCCTATCATTGGGGTCGGGGCCGCATAGGCGCATCAAACCACAGCTGTTCCCTGCCTGACAGCTCACTTTAAAAACCCACTAGGAGCGCGCGGGCATGATCGGGGGACAAAGAGTACACCTGGCGTAGGTATTCGCAGGTGGCAGCTTCGGCGCCGGGACCCCCTACCACCCCAAGGTACCAGGTAGGTAGGTGCCTTACATATGACACCTAGTTATTGACAGGCCCGGCATCATCAACGGCGTCGTCCTACCTAGTGTACAAGCCAGAAGCGTCCCAGGGCTCCATGTTATGTTATGTTATGTTTTTTATTTTTATTTTTTTGCCCTCGGCGGCCGCTGATTTTGTCGGCCAAAATAGCATGCGTCTCGTTCCCCGGCAGCAAGGACAGGGCGGACAACAAGAGTCAGGTCTAGAATGGCAGGGTATGGAAAGCATTCGTACAAGTCCGACTCGGCCCCGGCTCCCGGCCACCCTTGTCCGGCACCAGCACGGTGTAATGGTGACCGCATTCTGTTGTGGCGTGTTGGATTACATCAGTATTTTCTGCAACTGATGGGTTCTGCTGCCATCATCTGTCGCTGGACCCTTCGAAGCTCCCTGCTAGGCTTGTTGCAAGGTACCTCGACTGTTACTCAATCTTCCAACTTCCACGCCAGTCCCATATCACGCCCTCCTATCCGAAACCCGCCAGATACCGACACCGGTTGGCCCATCGCTTCCATCTTTGTCACTGTTGACTTATTCTTTCTGTAACTTTGCCCTGTCTTGTAGTACACGAACATGCAGCTTCTTGGGTTTTCGCACATCGCCGATGATCTGCCCGTTTCATCAGGAAATTCTCAGTGGCCTGACTTGACCCTGGTCATCCACTCCTTGTGTTGAGCGAGCCTGCCGAAAGCGATGTCGCATACCGAGATGCGGCTACCGCGTTCCTCTTGATATAAACCTCATGGCCTCTGTCAATGTGAACCCCCTTTCCTCTCCTCCAGATCCCAGAGACCTAGAAACAAGCTCAGCTTGATCATCTGCAGAGCTGCTCCGAAGACCAACTCTACTCTACCACAGATAACCAGGTCCGCCCATTAAATCACTTTTTTCTATTTACAGTACGACGTCCCTTTCGAGGTGATCCCGCCATGGCCGATATTCGAACTCAGGCGCTCAAAGAGCCCATTGATGTCGCTGAATACCTTTTTAAGAGACTTCACCAAGTCGGCGTCCGCTCAGTCCACGGCCTTCCTGGAGACTACAACCTTGTTGCTCTCGACTACCTCCCTGGGTCTGGCCTGACTTGGGTTGGCAGTGTCAACGAACTCAATGCTGGTAAACGGCATCGCCAAACCCATACTTATGCGCTTCACTAATACCTACAAGGTTATGCGGCTGATGGCTATGCGCGCGTCAAGGGAATCTCTGCCATCATCACCACCTTCGGCGTCGGTGAATTATCAGCCATCAATGCCCTCGCCGGCGCATACTCCGAGCATGTCCCCGTCGTCCACATCGTCGGATGCCCCTCCACCATCTCACAGAGAAATGGAATGCTTCTGCACCACACTCTAGGCAATGGAGATTTCAACGTCTTTGCGAACATGAGCTCACAAATCTCTTGTGATGTCGCCAAGCTCAACAATCCCGCCGAGATCGCCAACCAGATTGATCATGCTCTCAAGGAATGCTGGATTCGCAGTCGTCCAGTGTACGTCATGCTGCCTACCGACATGGTCCAAAAGAAGGTTGAGGGCGAGAGACTGAGAACACCTATTGACCTCAGCGAGATCCCCAATGACCCCGCGAAGGAGGACTACGTCGTCGAAGTTGTCTTGAAGTCACTACACGCGGCCAAGAAACCAGTCATGCTCATTGATGCCTGCGCCATTCGGCACCGTGTGCTCCCTGAGGTCCATGACCTTTTGGAGAAGGCCAAAGTGCCTGTTTTTGTCACTCCGATGGGCAAGGGCGCTGTCAACGAGACACATCCCAACTACGGCGGTGTTTACGCCGGAGATGCCTCACAGCCCGACGTCAAGGAGAGAGTGGAATCTTCTGACTTGATACTTTCCATTGGCGGTCTCAAGGTAAGTGAAAGGGCTACACAACGGCTTCCGTTCAGGACAACTCGCTGATTCCGCCACAGAGTGATTTTAATACGGCCGGCTTCTCTTACCGGACATCACAGCTCAACACCATCAATTTCCACAGCACGCACACAACAGTTCGATATTCGGAGTATCCTGGCGTCACCATGCGTGGTGTCTTGCGCAAGGTGATCAACAACCTCGACCCGGAAAAGCTCAGCATCGTACCCTCGCCGGATGTCTCTAACAAGCTGCCCATTGACGACAATGATCTGTCCCAGACCATCACTCAAAAGTACCTATGGCCGAGAGTTGGCCATTACCTCCGCGACAACGACATCGTTGTTACCGAAACTGGCACCGCCAACTTCGGCATTTGGGATACCAAATTCCCGGCCGGTGTCACAGCTTTGAGCCAGGTCCTTTGGGGTAGTATCGGCTGGTCTGTTGGTGCTGCGCAGGGTGCTGCACTGGCCGTCAAAGACGCCGGCGAAGACAGGAGGACGATATTGTTCGTTGGCGATGGATCATTTCAGCTCACGGCGCAAGAGATAACAACAATGTTGCGCCATGGCCTGAACCCGACAATGTAAGCTGCATCTGCGAGCCCTCCAAGATTCCTTGATACATGGCTCACTAACAAATTCCGCTTAGTTTTGTCATTTGCAATGACGGTTTCACCATTGAGCGGTTCATCCACGGCATGGAGGCCGAATACAACGATATAGTCCAGTGGCAATACAAGGAGTTGGTGACGGTATTCGGTGGAACCGAGCAGACGGCCAAGAAGTTCGTCGTCAAGACCAAGGACGAGTTGGAGAAGCTCCTGACGGATGAGAATTTCAACAACCCCACGACGCTGCAGTTTGTGGAGCTCTACGTCCCCAAGGAGGATGCTCCAAGAGCTCTTATCATGACAGCTGAGGCCAGCGCCAAGAACAACGCCAAGGTCGAGTGAAAGGTGTAGCTTGGCGGGCTTGCGGACGCGCACGATTCCGGGTCAGGGGGCCTCATTTTGGCAAAATTCGGATGGCGCAGGAACAAGAATTAGCACACATAAAGGTAGACGGCGCAAGATTGGTTACTAGTTAGAGTAGATGTAGAGCTCCAATGCATGTTATTAAGCAGCAGCTCGGAGCACACGTCTGTTTTACTGTCTGAATCGCCAAAGGAATCAAGCATTCATGATTTTGGCGTGCCGCAGAGAGATGATCGACATCCCCTAGCCGGACTTCGTCGTCCCGTCGTCCGCCCTTCCTCGATGCGTTGATACGATGGCTGGTCGGGCGAGGATGGCTGATGTATGTACGACCAATTGCATGATGATTCCCGACCGTGCAGCCAGACTGTGAGTAATAATAGTGTTGAGGGTAAGATACTCTGTACCTACCTAGAGTGGGGATACCTTACCTTAGGTTGGTGCCTAGGTAGGTGCCTCCTAAGCGCCGATAAGTGGGCCATACCGTCTGACTTCGGTTCACAGTTCTTTTCTGGCCGCGGCACCATCCTAAATTCTCATCCAACCAGCAAAGTAGACTGCGTTTGGCCACCAAGCAAGCAGCCACGCCCCCACGGACGAAGTGTCGAGGACTCACACTTCGACGTCGTCTCACCAATAGCTGTCATGACCTCCGACGCAACGAAAAGAAAGCAACCCAGCTCCGGGTGTGAAAAGTCCCATCCTTCGAAACGAAGCAAGGCAAGTTGCAACTTGCGAGAGCAAAAAAACCCTGGCCGTGCCGACCTGAATATGAATAGGCTCTGCTCCATCCGTTCGTAACGAAGTTCTGACTGACAAATGGTAGGGCGGTCGCGGCACGGGAGCATGGCAAACTCCTCACCAAAAGGCCAAGGTCGCCAATCTCCAGGACAGAGACGCTTCACTAGAGGTGGGCGATCAGGGTGTATGGGTCACTTTCGCCCGAGGGATGGATAGTAAAGCCATCCGTGAGTTCAACTTCATTTGTGACGAATATGGCAAAACCATGTATGGACTTGCTCCACCCGGCGAGGACATCGAGTCTGGTGACGAGGACGAGGACATTGAATCATCCATCAAGAAAGAGCTTGTCGGTATGAGCTCTGTCAACCGTAAAGATTCCAGACGGAACTTTAAGGCTATCCGCGCTGGTATTGAGTGTGTCTTCTTCATGAAAACACGAGACCCCGTTGAACCAGTTGAGTTGTGTCGTCGCATCTGTCGAGATGCAGGCGCTTGTCCAGATTTGAAAGAGCGCAAGACCAAGTACATCAATAGGTTGACACCTGTGAGTGCTCTGGACAAGGCCTCAGAGAATGGTGTAGTAAGGACGGCACGACAGGCTCTCGCGCCTTGGTTCAGTTTGACAGCGAGCGAGACAGCCATAGAGAATGAAGTGGGAGTCAAGAACGATGTGGCGCGAGCGGATGGAAACGAGACCGGGCCAGAAATCAAATCGGATGCGAAGCACGCGTACACGGTCAGTTTTGCGCCCAGCCTGATGGATGACTTGACTCATTGGTGGACAGTATGCAATTCGGCCCTCCATACGCAGCAACAGCTCCATCGAGCGTGACGACCTTATCAAGCAAATTGCCAGTACTATCGACCAGAGACACAAAGTCAATCTCAGCAACCCGGATAGGGTGATACTTGTTGATATCTTCCAGGTGAGAGTAATGGCCAGAGATTGAGTTACGCAGGCTGGACTGACACCGTTCATAGAGCTACTGCGGCATGAGCGTTATCAACGGCAGTGACTGGGATGGGCTCAAGAAGCTCAACATTAACGAGATGTACAAAGCATCGCCGGGTGCAAAGGGTGCAAAGCCCAAGTCATCACCCGTCGAGACAGAGAAAAAACCCGAGGAAGACATCATGAGCGAGGCAGCATGAACTAGCTGGTCGAGCAGCAGGCCGGAGAGGGGGTGGTTGGGGGGGGGGGGGCGGCATTTACAGCCGCTTCAGGGCAAAAGTAAGGGTCCTATCCGTACTTGTAATGGTTTTACCCCTCACCTCCTGTGTACAGGATGTGTTGGGGCAGGTTGCGAGTAATCAAGGCATCGGACTTAGCCGAAGATGTGGAATGAAGCATCTTAGGCGAGATGGGTGGTACGAAATGCGGGCATCTCACTCGCCGTCCTCACGCCAGGACCTGCGGCGGCACCCGTCGGTGCACCCGACCTCTGGGTCCCCTCGTTTTGGAAGGTTCAAAGCTTCAAAGCTTCAATCCTGTCGTATTGGCTTGTCATGTTCATGTACGGATAAGGACACCGGTGGGTGGCACGTTGTGTAAGGAGAGCTGTTTCTGAAGAACGGACCCCAGAGGATGAGATACTACCTATGTAGAGGTAGGTAAAGTTGGGGTGTGCGGCTTAGTGGAGCCCCCATTGCGGCGCTAAGCCCTATTGCGATAAATTTGACGAGTCTCCAGAGCCGTCAGCAGTTCCCCAAGTTCTGAGGAGCTTCTACGCAGCCAAGCAAGGGACGGGGGCGGATCGGACTAGAAAGGCCGGGATGGGGCCGTAACACGGTATAGGACGCTCCTCTTTGACGAGGAGAGCCAGCCACGCCTAAAATGTCAACACGTAGTACGTCGTCTACCTCATACAAATGTCCTTAAACTTAGCTTTGCTGCAATGCATCAATTTCCAACCATGTTCGAAGACAATAGGAGAAGATGGACGAGACTCTGGCAAACAAACAACTCTAACCATTCCAAAGCAGCTGGTCAAGGAGAAAGAATGAGGGAAGGACCCGACGGCCGACTAATTCAGGCGCCTGGAAGACGACGCCAGAGTCAGACCCGTGAGCGGAATCCGAACACGCCCATCCGGCTCGCTTGAGAAGTGTCCAATCACCAGATTCCCGGCTCGCTTCTCGATGCACAGACTAACCAGGATCTGGGGTTATGGTGGGTCTGATTGGGATTCCAGGCGGGGCGGATAGATCCCTTCTTCGCCAACATCCATCTCATTGACCACTCGTCTGCCTTCTGATATCCTTACAGCATCGTGTTAGTCTTCAACTTCGCCTGACGACATCAACAGAGCTTGGGAGCTTTCCCCCTCTCGCGGTTTGATCCGTCTTACTAGATTGGTCTCCTCCCCCTTGCCCTCATCTCTCAGCGACATGGCACCGTTCCCCGCTGCGATGCGTTTTCGCTTGGGTTGACCCAAAGTAGCACCCGAGGGCAGCTATACTCTATGTTTTTGGTGATTCGTAAATGACTTTCTCGCCTGCTGGCTCTTGCCTCCCAAGAAAGAGAGCAATTTCGATCCGCTTCCTTTCGCCTGGGTTAGAAACTGGATGCCCGCCTACACAGTTTGCTTGGGTCCAGGGCATCCGTAGCGTTGTCTCTCTCGCTTATCCGCAGTTCTTCTGGGTGCTGATTGAACGCCTCATGGCCCTAATGTCTGTCCTTGCGTGACGCCTCGCCCTTCACCGGGACAGTCCACTTACCCTACGCGGCTAGGTGATCATTGCTGCTCGCCTGTCCCAGCTCCTCATTAGTTGAAATGGGCACCGTGGAGGCATTTGTGCCCTCCCCAAAAGACTTATGGCTCCTTGACCACGCTTCAAGCACCATACAACATACATTTCTTTTCGTGGTCCTTATAGGCGACTACCTCACTTGGCTGGAAAAAGCTGTCGGTCCGCTGGGTTCGCTCAGAGCCTTAATGACACGCCCCCAAAGAATACCATTCCGAGCAGCTGTTTCCGCCACATTCATTCTGTGACCCAGTTGTCACTTTATTCCTCGTCAAGCTGTCACTCCCCATCTTCGCAAGGGTTCTTCAACCACCTCCACTCCGGGCAGGTTCCGTATACTCCCTTCCACAGTCCTCACTTTCACAATTCTCGGTTGCAACCTGCCAGGACTGCTGACCGCTTATACACCCTGTCCCGCCATGTGCTTCGCAATCCTTCGCTAGTTTTCCGTCCAGGTGTTCGCTCATCATCTTCCCGCTCTACTCCGGTGGACGTGCTGCGCCTACTTCTCTACATCCTCCTCGCCTGGAAGCCGATGTGATTGGCAGTCTCTCTATTCGCAGTTTTCCAAAGCCATCAACTCTGGGTTCGCGGGTGCCCCATCTCCAACCCAGTGCCAGTCTGCATAACACGCCGTGACCCCTGCCTCATCGTCTACACACTAGGGCTTGACGGCTTGCTATATCTAGGTCAATGTACCCACCCCCATCCACATGGCTCCGACACGGTATCACTCAAGCTACAGCTCACCCTCACCCTGCATACGACTCACCTTTCAGGTCATTCTCAGGAGGTGTCGCAAACCTGCAGTCTCCCGTCTGCCACCCGTAGCCCACCCGTAGGGCAGACTCGTCCCAGCTTTCGGCATCAGCGGCGGCGATCCGCCAGCGACAAAGCCCATGCAAGCCGTTATAAGCCATCTGGTGCCCCAGGCCACAGTACAACAGGTCCAGCCTGTGTCTTCGGTCCATTGCCAGCGCGCCTATGGAGTCAAGATCTCCGACGGAACGAGTCTTTTCCTCGTCGCCCCTCCGCCGCCGATGGTCAAGCTCCTTCGATCGGAGCGAGCCTCCGTCGTATCGGAGGCGGCCGTCTTGAGTTGGCTTGCAAACAAGACTACTGCAAAGCCCCTCCTACAGGAACGAACCCCAGAACCCGAAGACATTCTCGACGCTGGAAAGATTGAAACCAGAGGTGCGGGGGACTTAGGAAGCAGTGCCAACTGCGCAGAAGATCTGCATATGTTCCTTCCGAGGCTCATAGCCCATACAAATGCACCTAGCGAAGAAGGCCACGAGTTCAATCTCTTACGACCCACGATGGGTGTCCCGATTCCCGAACTCAGCCCGCCCCTTTCTTCGCCCGAGAGAAGATCGGTTGATTTTCAAACAGGCCAATTTTACAGGAAACTTTGCAGATTGGTCTCACCGACAGGCCGCTTCGGTCCTGCTTTCGCTGTCCTCCCACCTGCGACACCTATACCACCGTTTGACTCTGCGAAATCGATCAGAAGAGATTTAAATGCCAGACTGATGGAGTCGCGGGGGGTTCAGTCTTGGTCAACAGCGTTCCACTCCATGCTAGAGGCCGTCTTACGCGATGGTGAAGACATGCAGGTCATGCTAGGGTATGGTTCCATCCGCCAGCACTTCAAACAGTTCCAGTACACATTGGAGAGTGTCAAGACACCGCGTTTGGTTGCGGTAGACGCCGGCAAGGACCTCAATACTTTGGTCATGAGAAGAATGTGTCGGAAGGGTCCTCCATCACTAGCAAGCAGCCACCACCTTGAATTGCGAGGCGAATCCCGGGTGGTTGACGACAGCGAGAGTGAAACCGACGACGATGACAGCAGCAGTGAGTTGGGGCTGGGTGGAGACGACCGAGCTACGCCGTATCAACAGAGCAACATCATTATGACCGGTATGAAGGACTGGAGCAATTTTGTATTTGGAGACCCTCTGTTTGCCGTCGACTTTTGCCATGGCCCCAGTAGCGATTTTTTGTCAGGTTTCAACGATGTTTCGCCAGACCAAGACACCACCGCCATGTCTGCGTTCTCTTCGGATATGATCGAAGACGAGGCTACCGCCCATATCCGCATTCTTCTGTATGAATGCTACCACACAATCACGCACATAGCCAGGGAGTTCTTCCGGCCGCGCAGGGACAGCAGTGGGCGTGAACTGGAAGCGCGAAAGAAGTTGAACTATATCTTGGCCCAATTGGACACGCTTAGCAATGCGGGTGATCAGAGGGGAAGAAGACCAAGTGGGGAGTCGAGCCCAGCAAAGCGCTCCAAAAGCTGTGAAAAACATGACTAGGGAGGGTGCCAATGACGTTACGAACCAGCCGTCTCTATTCGGCCGTGGTTGTTGTACATACTAGCATGACGCGTGATACAGAACTAGATGCTGTCGCGCGGCGCATAGAACGACACAGGAAACTAGGCTGTGCTCTCATCCCGGCAAGTTTTGATCCGATTGTCTGCCGTTTTCACTTTTTGCTTTTGGCGTCGCCGTCGGCCTCGTCGCGCGGGAGCTGCATCCCCATCATGCCCAGGATGTTGCCAGCCGGACCTGGCAAGCCTGCCTGACCCTTGAAGCTCTCCAGCAGATTCTTGGCTAGGTTGTAGTCAATATCGATTTCTTCATCCCCAGCTTCCTTGTCGTCTTCATCGTCACTGCCATTGTGTTTGACAGCGGTACCAAGGCCGTTCACATTGGCTGGATGGCTGTCTTTGCCTTTGACCGCCGGCGCTTTGCTGTTGTCAGACACGTCTAGTCTGAGGGCCCCGTGCTCGGTAAGTTCGGCTTCCAACTGTGCTGCAAGCTCCCGCAGATCTTCGTCGCTGGGATCCTCAGGGAAACCTTCTCGATGCTTTCGCGTCCCTGCTGGCGGACTAGCTTCACCTTGGTTGTTTGGAGCTAGTCCCATCATTTCCCTCATCAGTCGAGAAAACTCAGCCTCGTCAAAGCTGACTGCCTTGTCTTCCTCATCGCTGCCATCTTCGCTGTCGTCGTCGTTATCGTCGTCGTTATCGTCGTCGTTATCGTCGTCGTTATCGTCGTCGTCATCGTCGTCAATGTCCATGTCTTCAATCTCGGCTCCGTCAAGACCTGCTCTCTCGTCGTTCAAAAAGGCCTCGAATCGTGACACGATCTTGCGCAGGTCCGCCTGTGTTGATGGGTCTCCAAAACCGGTACGGCCTTTTCCACTTTCACGGCGTCCTTGCAGTTCCTGTTCAAAGTCCTCGTAGTTGATGTCCAGCCAAGATTCATCGTCTTCTCTCTCTGAATCTTTCCAATTTTGGATATCGTAATCGGTCGGAAGGACTGATTCCCCATCCTCTTCGAGATCCGCTACAACGATACTGGCCTCTCTGGCTTCGCGGCTTTTGGTGG